GGGACGGATGGGGGTGGTGGAGGCTTCTGGGCAGGGACCAGGTCCTCCCCCCGCGCCTCCGCCCCCACCTCCTCGTTTCGCCCGGCGTCTCCGTCGCCGGAGCATCCTGCAGTCCCTCCCCAGCGCTCCGCCGAGGTAACCGCTCGCTTTTCATGCAGACCTCTTCCAGGACTTGAGCCAGCTCCAGGAGACTTGGCTGACAGAAGGTAGGCTCCTTCCCCTTGCTCTGTTTTGTTTTGTTCGCCTTTCAGTTGTTTGTCTTTTGATGTTTGGACTGCTCCTTTGCTTGGTTTGCCTAGCTCCGAACGTTATTTTTTTCTTCAGACTTGCCAACCTCTGGCTTGTGTAAATGAAGACGCATGAATCACGCTATTGTGCTGGGTATTTACTTGTGAATGGAACTTGGCAGTTGGCCTGCTTTCCTGGTTACAATTTTCGTTTCAGGCTACTTGTAACTGGTTTGATTTTATGCTAATTTGTCACTTATCTTTGTTGGTTGCCAGAACGTTGATATTTTTTTAAACAAACAATAAACTATTCTTTTAATTTGGGGAACGAAGTGCTTCTCTTAACCCTTTTTTTTTTTTTTATTATTTAAGATAATTCTTTGAAGGGACCTTCCTGGAATTTACACACTGTTCAGTTTGGTGTCTAAATTGTTTTGCCTTTTGACTTCAAGGAAAAGAAAGCTTAAAATCCCAGGGAGTCCCGTTAATTCCAAGTGAAACTAGTTTTAAACAGTATGGTGAAATTGCTCTAATTCCAGTACTACAAATGATCCATTTTCTAGAAAATTCAAAACATTCTCAAGTACAGACTCTTGATAAATATGAAAGTACTTACTGTGATATAGGTACTTAACAAATATTTAACAATAATAATATAAAAATATGCATGGCATTTTGAGCAGGATTATTTCCCCTAATTTTACTATAAGTGAAGGACAATCCTGTCAAACAGTTCTCTTTCTTTTTTTTTTTAGCCTCAAAAAGGTATTTGCCAACTAAGTAAGATTATTGGGGGGGGGGAGGAGAAATAAAGTGTTTTATGTTCATTTCAAACTGAAATGGAATTACATTGATCAGGCAGTATTCGGGAGTGTGAGGATTGTAAGGATGCAAGAGGAATTACCTGGAGGCTGTTCCAGGATTGAAACACTCACCTAACTTACGTAAGAGCAGAAAAATGGGTATTAATTGTTGTTCAGATCTAACAGATCTGAATGTGCACACATGCTTGATACTGGTTTCTCTTAAATCTTCAAAAACCTTGAGCTGCCAATAAGATAAGTTTGCCTCAGAACTGATTTCTGGTAGACTTTCAATTTTAGGCTTTCTAATATTTGATAATATTTTTAGCTCACTGATCTAAAGAATTTGCATATAAGCTCTTACGATATGTTTGTCAGTAGCAGAGTGTTTGTAGAATGAATTCATAAGTACCCTGGGGTGAAGGGAAGGTCACACATGGTCTCATAGCACTGTATAGAAAGAGGTAATCCGCTATTATACATGATCAGTAAATGATAATGCAAACTCTATTACATGTTTTTAGAGTATAGGAAGATATCTTTTTTTTTTGTATAGCTCATAGCATCTAGTCAGAGTCCAAGTGAAATCCTTGGGAAATTCAACGCATGTTTTAATATTCTAGCTTATGATTTTAGACCGCATATATGGGGAACTACTTTCTCCCATGGTGACTCCCATTTCCAGACTTTTAACAAGCAAAGTTGCCCTCCGAAGCAAACTATCGTTTGTTTTTCTGTATTCACCAGTATGTCAAATCACTTTCACCATTCAGGAAAACAATTTTTTTTTCATTAATGTCTTGTGCATGTCTATATGTTAACATTTGTTCATGAGATGAAGGCAACTGAAAACTTAAGAGTACCTTCCTAAACAATGCAGAAGAAAAAGAAAAGAAAGTGAAAATATGAAATATGTTATTTATTCTCTGCCTCTACCACATTTAGTTAAGAAATTTAGCTATTTTATTTACAGTTCTTGGTGTTACTTTTGAAATAAAAGAGAAACAAACCTAGGAAGGAATCAAACTGAAATATAAATTCACAACAAAAAATCAGCCATATGAAAAATGTTAACAAATTTAAACCACATATACATGTGGATGTATATGTATGTATATGCATCTCTCTCTATATATATATATATTTGTGTGGTTTCATTCATAGGGGTATTTCTTTGTTAGCTTTTTAGAATATTTTTAAGTGTCAATTAACACCTGATTTCTCCTTTGCAGGGTAAAAGAATAATGTCTGCATATAGGTGACTCTTAAAAGAAACAGATGCTGAAAAATCCTAGGCCTTGTTACTAAAAATCTGAAGTTTTCCTCTACACCATTTTTACCAGAATCTGTTAGAATGCAACAATGTGAAGCTGGCAGTTGATAACTGTATGGAACTGATTTCAAGCCAAATAATTTATAAAAGTGATTTGGCATTCAGAGAAACAAAAAAACTTCCTTGGAGAAAAGTTGCACAGGAATTATCTGTGCTGATTGCAAGGAGGAGAGATGCACTTCTTCTTTGTGTATCCTTAGCCAGAGAGCTTTAGTTATGGTGCTCCAGATCCTGAAAGCGATGTGGGAGATGGTGAAGCACATGTTGATACATGCAGTCTGAGTGACTAAAATAAGCCTGGGGTTGGGCTTTAAGTGTCTGATTAGGTATCCCATTTATTTTAAATATAGATGCTGGTTTGGGGAGAACAAGAAAATGTCTATCTGTATTGCAACTATATGAGGTAGATAATGAATATAAAAATTTAATTTTTTTTTTTCTGGCAACTGGTACTTCAGCCTTCTAATACAGGACTGTAGCTGTCCGCAAGCATCACTGTCCAGCAGTGAGGCTGCATGCGCTCACTCCAGCCATGCCCTTCATTTCACATCTTTTCTGTGGTCTATTGCTTTTAGTATGTAATTCTCTTAGTGAGATTGCCAGCAATGTGATAGACAATAGTAGCCTCAAGGCAGTAGGCTGTGAAATCCAAATTCAGCTCATACAGTGTGATCCCCGTTATATCTTCTATTACAATATTGCTTTTTAAAGATAATTCATAAAATGAATTTTGTAGGTTTTTTTTTTTCTGTTCCCCACCTTTATCACTTATATTTCCAGTTTGTTGTCATACAGGTTATTTTAAGGAACAGTGACTGCAGTGCAAAGAGCTTGGCTAGTTCCATTCTAATCCACTGCCTGTTGTTAATGTAGTGTTATTCCCTAAGGTTAATTTTTGGTATGTCTTGTCCAGCTTAGCTTCAAGTGACTGAGGTTAGTGGGCTTCCGTTCCTCATGTCCCTTTGACTACATCACCTTTGCTTTAGAGCTGAGAGAGTGCTATCTCTTGTCCACTCTGCAATAACAAAACCTCTAGGTTTGTCTGTTATGTACTAGCAGCAGCATATGTTTCAGCAATAGTTTGTGAGAGATTTTGTGAAATAACAATCTGCTGCAAGCTCTCCCTTCCCTGTGGTAAAAGGGACATAAAATTAATTGTTAGAAGTAATAAACTATTTGAACATGACATGTGCTATGGTTTAGGTTCTCCTCACAGTTTCTCCCAGGGCACAACCAAAAGCTTAGTTCTTTGTCAGACCTGAATTTACCACATTAGTTGCTGACTCTGGGTAATGGAGGACTGCTCAGGAGGTGGACTGAGGCCATATCTGAGCTAGGCTCTGAGTAATAAGGCAAAAATAGCTGTGTGTTAAAATACGGGCTAAATTCTGATTAGTAATGTATTCCTGACATCAGGATGGTGTGCCTCTCTTGCTTCCTTAACATCTTTTCTTTCTGTGATAGGGAAGAATGCAAAGGTATTTGTAAATAAATACAGATGCTGCTGTCAGGGAGAAAGCCAGATTGGATCACTTGCTTTGGTGTCCTACTGCTTAAGTATGTGATTGAGATGTGCTTCAACAAAACCATATGTTCTAGACTGTGTGTAGGCTGTCCAAGTGTACTGTTCTGTCTTGCTTATATAGCTCTTGCAAAGGAAAGATAGGCACAAACCATCTTGTAGAATGGGGCAAGCATGCACAATTATATTTACAGTTGGAAAATCTGAATGAATTGTTCCCTCTGTGAATGTGTGAGGGCAATGTTGATTAAAGATTTTCTCAGGAAATAAGGGAAGCAGGAGCTAGAGGAGACTATGTGTAGCTGACTGCTCTGTGAAATCAGAACAACACTAATTACATATACACTGTTTCAACACAGGAATTTTATATAATAGCACTATGGACTATTATAACATTTGATTTTGTATGTTGGAATGATCTCTCAAGGACACACCTTGTACCTTGCTGAGTCAACCTGTAGGTGAAGAAGGACAATAAAATTCTTTTTCTTCCACTGTGCCATTTCATTGTCTTACTATATATTTTGCAATGGCTTCAGTGCAACTCGGACATGGGCTAAGGCCACATTATGGTAGGTGATCCGTGAACAGAACGATCTAAGCTGGAGATCAGAAAAGGCAGGCAGCTATGTATAGGCAGATGAGGAATTTGCATGAGTGATGCCATAAGGGTGAGCACAGCTGCCAGTCTTCACCAGGTACCAGCTTCCAACCACTGTTAGAGGTTTCATAGGCATCACAGGAAGAAGAATTCTGATATTTTAAGTTTTAATTTAAAATAAGTATTTACTCTAGGAAGTGATGAAACATACTGTAAAGTATATAACGAAAGACTCTTAGTGCCTCCATTTTGGATGTTGTGGGAAACTCTATCCATGTGGGCTTTACAGCTTTTGCAAAGTCTAGTCTTTCATGTAAATCAGAATAAATATGATCCCCTGAGTTATGAAGAGGCATCAACTTACAAAGTGTGCTGCTGACTTTTCAAGTCAGCAGACAAACACATGTGAGCCTCACCAGTTTGTCTAAAGGAGGCATTAAGCCTGAAGCTTCTTAACATTGAGATACTAATGTTGTTAACTATTTCACTGTTTATTTACCACATTCAGCAACATCCTGTTCCGGTGAGGTAGGCTGTTCCAAGGTAAATGAGGCCTCTGCAGATTTTCAGATATCTTTATTAGACAATCTTTGAAATACTCATATCTTAGACCTTGCTGTTATTCTTGGAGTTGTACTACCAATGCTGTCCACAGGGGAGATGCCTAGAAGTAAGCTTTACTGCACTGATTTGTGGGGAAAGAGCAGCTGTTTGCTGTCAGGTTCTCAATGACTACACCAGCACTTCCTCTTACATTTCCCATTTGCAAAATCACACATACATGCAAGGCACTATTAACCATTTCCCTCTCCTGCTACCAGGTAATTTTATTTTTTTTCTTCTGAAATGTTCTCCTTCTGCTGATTTACAAATTGTAGCCTATTCCACTAGTGCCAAGCTATCCACTGCTTCTGGAGCTACTGAAAAGATCGTGTATGAAGGCATAGATGTTTCCTGTTCTGCTCATCACTTTGGCATAGCCTTTCCAAATTCATCAGTTGGTAGTTGTTTTTCCCTATGCTAAATGCTTAAAAATCCCTGAATGTTACGTTTCTAACGAGAACTGTGGACCCTGAGCTAATAAACTTGCTGTTGTCCTTATTTCCAAGGTAAGGGAGAAAGAAACTGGCAGGCTGTTAAGAGATAAATCTGAGGTGGAAGAACTGTATTCTTTAATCCCAAAGGGAAACTATCCTTAGTCACTAAAGTGCATCCCAGCAGAAAGCTCAGATCTTTCCTGCATAGACTTATTTCTGTCTTACTGTAAATTATACCATACAAAGTGCCAAATCTAATTCTCTTTCTCTCTCTCTCCCCTGCCTCCTCCCCTCCTTCCCTCCCTCCCCTGGCAGCTCAGGTTCCAGACAGTGATGAGCAATTTGTGCCTGACTTTCATTCAGAAAACTGTAAGTAGCATGGGGATGATCATACATCTCAGGGGAGAAAGGCAGGATACACTTAAACCAAACAAATACATAAATGCAACGCACAGACGTTGAGGCTAAAGTACTCATTTTATTTCTACATTGTTGTGACGGTGACAAAAAAAACCAGGCTAACTGTCCACATCTGGACAACGCAAAAGCGTATTTGTTGGTGGTAACTACCACAGTCCCTTACGCAGAGTGGTTTCAACAGATGTGTATTTTAGTTGATGTATTTGCGAATAATTCGGCACCCCTGAACAGCTAAGAAAATGCATTACTATGATAATCAAAGGTAAAGTTTGTGCTATCACTCCTCCCAAAGCAAAAGAAATTGGACTGTACATGGAATTACAGGTGCTGTGTCTCCTGCATGATGCTTTTTTGAGGTTCTGCTCACCTGTGTGGCCTCTGGCTGAGCATCTGCTGCCAGCATGGCCTCTGTGAGATGATGGTCCTGTCTGCTGCCTGCCACAGCATGAGGGCACAGTATCCCTGAAGAGATGTGCTTGCTAGCCTACTTGCTCTCTGTTCTTACGAACTATCTACTGGACAGATTGCATGTGTTTGCACAGGAGTGTACAGACCGTACCACAAATGTTTGCTCTGAGAACTAGTCAAAGCACTTCACCATACAAAGGAGCTGAATGTTGCACAGGTACAAGTGTACATATAGGAACCTTCCACGCAATGGCCATGCAACTCTTCCTGCTTTTCTCACACTAGGCCTGTTTCAGCTGGTCCTCAGAGCATGCCACCGTTTTATTTGGAAGCTGATGCTGGGCTCAGACTACATGCCTGAAGTGAATACAGACTTTTCTGAATAGCTCTGTGTTGCAAGCAGCTGCAAGAACCTGGAGCCTGACTTTTGACAGGCATGTCAAGGCTACAGGAAGATGCCTCACTGTTCCCTGGGCATATACATGTCTGGCAGCTAACTGAGAGTAGAGATGTCCATTTAAAGCTGGTGCAGTCAACTTTGGTGCCCTTCCTATGCTGATACCCCTCTCTGCCCAGGACAGTTTTCCCCATGAAAACTAAAATGAAGCACTTCTAGCGGTTGTTCTTGTCTACCTCCTTCCCCTGGACTTGGTCTTGCAGCACAGCCGGGCTTGGTCTGCATCATACATCTTGTTTCTTCCTCTTTTTGACCTAGAACTGAGGAGAGGGCTGGTCCCATGTTTCACTCTGAATGAATGAGCCAGTTGTAATGTGATAGCCTGCTCCAGCTATTAGGGGCCGGAAAGAACTGGCTGCTCCTAGCACATCTAGCTTCTTCAAACTTCAGTGTACTGGACAAGAGTAATTTGTTTTTTTTTTTTCCCCCTGAGACTCAGCCGACACATCAGCATTTTTAAATGGGTTCTATATATCTGTTTACTCCGTACATTGAAAAGAACTGCTGCAGACAGAAGGGAAATGGATGCCCCAGGCGTAGAAAGACCCTTTTCTCTTTTGACCCTTCCCTGGGCCTGGGGTGTTTGCACAGATGCAGGAGTGTCATGCTTGGGATACTGAATGCATCCTGGGTTTGGGGCAGGCCCGCTGGGTCAGCACACTCACACCTGCCATCAGTTTGGACAGTGCCAAGAGCTGTTTGTGAACAGGCCCCTCTGCTATGATTGATGGCAGCCCCAGGATTGGCTGTGGGAGCCAGTTGTCCCTGAGAAGGAGTAGGAGCCAGAAACAATATGAGGCTCTGGTATCTTATGGATTTCTTTATGTATATTGATTCTGCCAAGCTGTTTGGATCCCTTTGGGTGCTGGTATGATGTAAAGATTGGCTTTTCTGGTGTAGGCTGAAACCAAAGGCAGGCAAAAGGAGTCAGGTTTGGGTTTTGTTTTTTTTCCCCCTCTTGCTGAGAAAATTAATTTTGGGGAGGGATGTTCGCCATAGAAAGTGGCCTTAATATCCTGTGCTGAGAGAGACAGCAGCAGCCCTTTCTCCAGCCCTTTTGATAGTTGCTTGCTGCAGCACTTCTGAAGGGACAATTAGTCCTTTATGTGAGGGAGAACTGGCTTGAGGATGGCTGGTGCACATGCAGTTCAGGTCGGTCCTGAAATAAACTCAGCAAAAATATGAGGTATTAACAGATCGGGATGTTACTTTCCATCCTTAAAACTGTAACCACAGCTCTGAACATCCCAGGCTTTGTAAGCAACATCATGTCAGCTTGAAGAGATGGGAGTAAGCTGGTGAAGAAGGACTGGAGCTAGCCTTATTAAAAGCTTACAGTTTTGATTTGGAGGACAGATCTTTCCCTTGTTTGAAAAACGAGCCTAGATCTATGTACCTTTCTGGGGTTACTTTTCTTTGCTTCCTAAGTGTCAGTGACCTTCTAACAGCAGCAGCAGAGCCCAGAGGCAAAGGTAGAAGATGCTTGCCACGTCCTTCAGCCAGGATAAGCTTTTCTGAGGAACTAGTTAAGGAAGTTTTGCTCCCTGCTGGATTTAATTAGGCATAAGAAGTAACAATACCCACATCCTACTTCCTGGTGCTGTAAACTGCAACCCACATTTGTTATTCATGAAATTCTAACCAGCCCAGAAATATCCCTCCTCGTCTGCACCAGGCCATGACCACAGACCAGTGCACTGAAAATGAAAAGGAACGTTTTTACTTTTTTCCTGGACTGTCACTGATGTTTTGGATGAGCAGAGTGGTTATAAGATTCCCCCAATCCCACACTCAGGGATGTTGGACTGTTAGCATAGAAGAGATTCAACAAAGGGAAACCTGCATTTGGAAATTATATGGGTAGCTGCTGAGTGCCGGCATGGCAGCCTCCCGCCCAGGAATCGCAGTATCGTGTAGAAGGGCCTGGCCTTTTTCCTGAGTCCTAAAGTATAAACCTGATACAATTAATGAAATTAGATACATCAAAGGGAGGCTACTGAGAGGACTGCAAGCTGCTCTTTGAACTTTGAGGTATATTATAGTGAAAGCAAGGACTTGGAAGTCAGACTTCTGTTTTGTACTGTGCTTTAACACTGGTGCAGTTCCTTTGGAAAAAGGATTTTAGCTATCTAAATTGGTTAGGTGCTTCTGAAAACACTACTTGTGTAAGTTGTCTGTGAGCAAGTTAGCCTGGTGACAGCCTGTAATAGTATGCAATACATATAATAGTATTTTCCCACAGAAAACCTTCAGGTTTTGTAGCTGTGTCTACAAAAACCTTACATTTATTGTCCTATGATACTATCAGGAAATCTACAATGTGTCATCATATTAGTGCATTATAATATAATGCAGTGCTACATGGTAATGCTACTCACAAGACATGCTTACCAGGTATGTCAATGAAAGAGCATTTTGCATGATGCAAATGAAAACTTTGCTTTTATGTGTTGAAAAATAGAGTATGTGCATGCTACCCTTTATGAAATAACAGAAAATGTCTGTCCCAGCCCTGAACAGCTTAGGAAATATCCACTCTAAATCCTTTTCAAAGTGCTCTGGATTATCACAGAGCATGTTAACACTACCTTAGATTTGCTTTTTTAAGGTTGATGTATCATACAAACCTTACTAAACCAAGGGCAGAGCTCAGGAAAGTCCAGTGAACAGTTGTGCATATTGGTATTTTGTTTCTCGCAGAGCCAGCTGAACAAGGACAAGGTGGTGGCATCTCAACTGACTTTTTACTGGCTGATAAAAATATCTCTCCATATACAAGAAAAGTGTCAACTTGACCTTTCGTTTCTCTCCCACAGTAGCTTTTCACAGTCCTCCTGCTAAGATTAAAAAGGAGCCGCAGAGTCCCTCCTTGGACCCCACACTGTCCTGTAACCATAAGCAGCCATTCCAGTACCACAATGGCGAGCAGTGCCTTTATGCCAGGTAACACAGCTTACACAGGGGAGGGACAGGAGGTGTTATGAAATCAAGTGCTACTGCCTTATCTAATAATGAGGTGTTATGACAACAGTCTGGTCTGTCTGCTGGATAAGGGCAGTGCACATATGCTGCAATACAAATTAACCAGTGGGTCAGCTCATGGCAGCCTGCTTAGACTGCCATTTATTGCACTGGATAGAGCAGACCTGTGTAGAGTAGATCTGGGCTTGCGTCTTTTCTTCTCCCTAGTGCTGTTCCTCAGCTGTTCTGATGCTGAGAGCAGTCTTGACATCTGTCACGTGCCTCTCTCTCCCCATTGCTTTCCAAAATCTGTCCCGCAAGGAGCTCCCTGACACCATTGCCCACAGTCCCAACTATTTGCCTGAGTTATAGTATGGCTTCTTCAGTACAGACACCTTCTCCAGTTTTCTGCTTGAAGGGTTATTGCTATTGTGCATGGGGGCAACCAATAATCAAAAAGGAAGGAGTTTGTGCTGGGAGTTTTCTGACCTAGGTGGCTGCACAGAGGGAGAGCGTGTCTGCCTGTGACGCGTTCTCCCCAGGTACTGCCACAAGTCCTTCTCAGAGAACTGTAATGCTCCAATATCTGTTTGACTGTCCCAGTGCCTATGATCAGCCCAGACAAGTTGGAATCAAGTCCCCCAACCCAGGAACCCCGATACAGTCACCACTCCAACAGTTTCCTAGACAGGACAGGAGCTTCCTGACCCCTGCGGGGCCACCCCACCCCACGTCCAGCTGTGGATACCTCAATGAAAACAGGTGAGTTACTGCCAGGAGGAGGCAGCCCCTGGCAAGAAGGATTGCCCTCCTTGGCGATTCAGGGAGGAGGGGCTGCAGCATCCAGATTAAAGTGCTCAGTTTCCAGCAATCACAGGATCTCCCCCATCCAAAGTACCTGGGACCCATCGCTGCTGCCTAGGGTTTGAAGAAGTCTATAACCTTAAGCCCATCAGATTCGGTGAATGATGGGCTGTGTAGCTGCCCTTGGAAACATCTTTCACTGGCGTCCCTTCCTTGCCCCAGCTATGCGTGCAGCTCCTACAGCCCTAATAACAGGCTGAGGCTGAGGAATTTTTTGTCCCTCAACCAGCCCTGCACCAGGGCTGAGATCAGAGGGCCAAGAAAGCAGCCACCCCATTGTCCTCTCCCCTCTTCTAGCTCTGCGTACCAGCCACCTGTGGAGATGTGCCGTTCCTTCCCCTCCCAGGGCATGGCCCAGGAAGACCCCATTGCCTACCAGCGTCAGATGTCTGAGCCCTGCCTCCAGTACCCTCATCAGGGCTTCAAACAGGAGTACCATGACCTGCGGTATGAGCAAGCAAGCCGAGCAGGCAGCAGCAGTCAGTACCCAGCAGCTGTGGTGATCAAGCAGGAGCAGGTGGACTATGTGTATGACTCAGGTAGGCAGAACTAGCTCTTTTTAGCAGGGCCTGTTGCAACAGGACAAGGGAGAATGGCTTTAAACTAAAGGGGTGGTAGATTTAGACTAGGTATAAAGAAGAAATTTTTTACACTGAGGGTGGTGAAACACTGGAACAGGTTGCCCAGAGAGGTGCCGGATCCCTGGAAACATTCCAGGTCAGGTTGGACGGGGCTCTGAGCAACCTGATCTAGTTGAAGATGTCCCTGCCCACAGCAGGGGGGTTGGACTAGATGACCTTTAGAGTCACCTTCCAACCCAAACTACTCTATGATTCTATGATTCTGACTGCATAAACCAGGCATCGATGGGGGTAAGCAACCTTGTGGGTGAACGTCCATCACTGGTGGTCTTTGGGCTTTGAAACAGTACTACTTCATCTTCAGGAGCATCTGTGGTCTGGGAAACTGGCTGCATAGCAGGAAATGCAAACAGTTCTGTCTGTTTACTGCATCCAAGAAAAGGCTGGGACATTCACTTTCCATACTGTGTTCTGAGAAGGACTTTCTGGTAGATAGTGGAAAGCTTTAACAAGATATAGGAGCTAGAAGGTGATGTTAAACCCATTCAAACTAGATTAAAGGCATGCATTTTTTTTTTTTTTCCAAGGGAATAAGTAGCCATTGGGGAGACTCTCAAAATTCATAATTGGCCCACTCACACCATCAGAAATGGAGAAAAGGGCGTTCCCAGTTTCACAGGGTGTTTTTGTCTTCAGAGGGATACGTGAGCTGGTAGGCCGTAGAAAGGGAGAGGAGTGAGGTCAGCTTTGAAGAAATTATACTGCAAACGTTCTGTAAATGGCAGCGGAAAGGAAGGAATCAAAATCTTGGAGCTTGTACAGAAAAACTGTCTCAGATCCCTGCAGCAGGAGGGGACCTTCAAGCACTGGCAGAGGAAAGCTGCTCTGGGTGCAGGGATTGCGCTGCACAACCCTGAGCTGCAGCTCGTGACATTGTCTGGCCCCGTGCCTTTTCCCTGACTGGCGGCAGAAGAATTTAATTCACAAAATGGAGGCAAAGATGCATCTCTCCCAGCCTAGCTGATGAGGTCAGCTTTCACTGCTGCGGTCTCTCACCAGCAGCTGACACCCACTGGAAACTCGCCGCAGCAGGTCACAGAGAGAGCTGATGCCCCATTTTGGAGCTTACCATGCGAGATAAACCAGCTTTGTTCTGACAAACAGATCTAAAAGTCTAAACCTAAAACAGTCTAAAGAGACTTGGGTGGCTAACAATAAACTGGTCCAAGGACAGGCATAAGCGCAGAGCGGGATCTGGGTTGACTCAGCTGAGTGCAAGCGTGAGGCTCTGTGTCTCTTGTAGTGTCAACCTTCACCTGCTACTTCCCATAGAAACAGGGCACACAGAGCAGATAGCAGAGATTTCAGAGGATCACAAGAGAAAAAATTTTATAATTCCAAAAATTACCTGATCAATCAGGTAATCCTCTTATTTTTCCACAAGGGATAAATCTTATTTTTTCAGCAGACCTGTCCAAAGACTTGCTACCCTGACATCACAATACCCTCTTCTAGAGGGAATGTTACATGTGGCTTCCTGGTATTTTAATGGACATTTTGAGTTGTTTCCTTTAGCAGAAATAAATACATAAATAAAAAGCTCCTATGAGGGTATAGAATCCACCACTGTGGCTATGCTGATATTACACTTTCACTGGGTACTTCTGTCCAGACAGGGGAAGAAAATGTGCAAACCCAGAAGAATGCTTTTTGTAAGAGTAGTTTACAATTGTAATAATACACAGTCAGTCAGCTCAGAGTACCCTTCTGCCCTTAGCATCAGCAAAATGTCTGCTGAAAGCAACGGCTATACACAGGAGTATGAGGGAAACGTAAGGTAAATCTTTCCAAAGCTCCCAGTTACAGCTTCCATTTCAGCTGTGGACAGCAAATAGGTTTGATTCAGAAAACACAAGATACAGAAGATATAAATTGCAGTGCCCAGGCAACGATATATGCTGCACAGAGATCATGAAAAGACTTTCTGCTTGTTTTCAAACTCGGGCTATTTTTTCCTTTATCTTTTCTCAACTGTTTGTGAGAATGCCCTATCATGATGTGAAAAAGCCAAGGAGACTTAAGACATCTGAAATGACATTTGTGAGACGCTGTCTGTAGTAAACATTCAGATGCTGACGCTTTCCATTATCATCATCATAGTACCCCTGGAAAAATGTAATGCCTTCTCACCTCTGAAAACAGTAGCAGAGTGCATAGTTATCTTAAACTAAGATGAGGGAGAGGTGTCATAAAAATTTAGCCTATTGTCCAAGATTTTGTATTGAGTGGTGCATAGGTGACTGACTGGCTATCCTGGCTACTCTGAAGGAAGTCATGTGATAGTACCACAGAAATTTACTAGTGTAATTCATGATTGGAAGCATGAGGAAGATGAAGTTGTGGTGGGATGGCTGAGACATAAAAAGTTATCAGTCTGCCATTAACCCTTTATTTAAGAAGGCCCTAAGAGGACATTGGTTAGACAGCTGCACTTACCTATCCACCTCCGGAGAGCAAGATCATTCTGCCTCCTGTGCTTTTTAATTAAATGAACTTGTTAATTGTTCTATAGATGTACCTGGCTGCCCTTCCATGTACATAAATGTTGAGAGTTATCCAAGCCATTCAAATACAGAAGATACATTAGGTAAGAAACTCAGTGACTGTCGTCTTTTCCCTGCATTGCATTGCCCTCTAGTACTACCCTGTCTTTGTCTATGACTGCCTATGTTGCTTTCTCTTTCAGGCTGCAGCTATGACAAGCAGATGAGGTCCTTTACTGATGATGTCTGTGTTGTTCCAGAAAAATATGAAGGTTGGAGAAAGAATGCTTCCAGTTTGGGTATAAGATAGGGTTATCCAGCATCTTTGCTAGCCACTTGACCACTGTCTACATAGTTCATTACATTGTGTTCTTGCAGGTGCGTTAGCTGTGGTTCATACCTGGCTTTTTGGTATCCTGTTTCTTGAGCTTTTTTAGCAGCAAACAGGCCTTCTAGCATAAGTAGCTTAATTGTGAGGTTCATCAGAGCTCCTCTTGGAAGAGCTGCTGGTGACTTGGCCACTCTGTTTTATATGAACTGAAATATTCCAGGTAAACATTTGTGAAATGTGCCTTTTTTTTTTTTCTTCTTCTTTTTGCAACTGTTTTTGCATTGATACCCTTAGAAACACCTTGTTTGTTCTTCTCAGCAGGAGACATCAAGCAGGAAGCCGGAGGGTACCGGGAAGGACCTCCATACCAGAGACGGGGATCTCTCCAGCTCTGGCAATTTCTTGTGGCTTTATTGGACGATCCGACCAATTCCCACTTCATTGCCTGGACTGGTAGAGGGATGGAGTTCAAGCTCATTGAGCCAGAAGAGGTGAAACCATTTAGCTTCTCTGCAGGCTCAGGGGGAGCAGCCACTGTTTCTGAGGCTGCAAATTCTCAAGAGGCTTTTCCTCTGCCCTGTGAAGGCTTCTGCCTACCAGTGGTACTCGCTAGACCCTGCTGCAAGTCAAGGTTTTTAGACGAGGTCAAAACACTTGGGTGACACAAATATCAGGTTTAAGAAAGGCTGCTTGTAAGTTTAGAGTCTCAGCAATGCAGTGAGTCAAATTACCCACTGTCTCCACTTCCCTAGACATTTCACTCTCAAGCTTGCAGTAACTTGTGCTGTCTTATCACGCTTTATGCTTGAGGCTGACATTAAGGTTTGGAGTTTTCAACCGTACTGGTTGCAGAAGTTTTCATAAAAATCTGGAAGAAACTATGTCCTAGTCTAAATACATTTTTATATCAAAATGACGTTAACTAAGGTGTAATTTCTAATGCTGCGTGTTCCAAAAAACCCAAAGATATCTGACAATATCTGAGAGATGTATCTGTAATATCTGTTCATATCTTGCTACGATTAGAGCTGCGTTTAGCACTGTTCTTGCTGCATATCAACCTTTGCGGGCACTTTCAGTCCAGAGTTGTTTTGGTGAGCTGGCATATGCTTATAACAGATTTCTGAGTCTCATGGACAAAGCTGAAAATCATGTAGCAGGAGGAAGAAAGGCACATGGGTCTTCCATTGGAGGTGTTCCCTCATACTTGGGCACCTGGTAAACATATGATTCCTGAAGATAAAGTGTAGCATAGGGTGAAGCAGTCCTTTAGCATCCTCAAGCTTTCAGAGTGCTGGAGACTGAGGAGAAGTGTTGACAGCAAATGAGCTCTGTAGTGGCAAGGAGAATGCCTCTCTGTGATATAGGGTACTTCAGTTTAAGTTCTACTCTTCTTGTTGAAAAGCTGCTAAATAATTATTGTTTGAGTCTATTGTTTAAGTGTTGTAAATATTTGTATGTGTTGTGGCACCGTTCCTCAAAAGAGAATCAGCTGGATAATGTCCTTTTGCCCTTGGGCTGGGTTCACAGACATTCACGCACTTTGATGCTTTATTCTACAGGTAGCCAGGCTGTGGGGTATCCAAAAGAACCGTCCAGCCATGAACTATGACAAATTGAGCCGATCCCTTCGCTACTATTATGAGAAAGGCATCATGCAGAAGGTCAGTTTGCAAAGCAGATGCAGTTTTTATGCCTTTAGTGATGCTTCTCTTGTTAGAGACAGGAAGTCTTACAGGTACAGAATGTACTTGAGCTAGCTAGGCATCCTGAGCTTTCTTTCCCCATAACTTCTCTTTGTAGCAGTTAAATCAGGAATGTGTAAAGGAGCTGAATCTAGGCAACATATGGGAAATAAAACAAAGGGGAATCATGATGTCTTTCTTTTTCTGTATGTGTCTGCAGTCAGGAGAGTTGAAATTTATGCAGCTGCAAGGACATATAATCAGTCTGGACCTGCTGTTGGTGAGAGAAAGGCTGCCTGGGGGTTGGTCCTATGTGGTAGGGATGGTCTCTTCCAGATCCAGGGCACTGGAGAGGATAACCGTGAGTGTAATTATGTCACAGTACAGACTGGTCAGGGACCGTTGATGCTGTTGCTACCTGGACAAAGAGTCAGCTAGCAGCATCCCATTTCCCAGGAGCTGTTCCAGGAGAGACCAGAGAAGCAGGATGACAGCACAAGGAGTTTACAACTCTGACATGTCTCAGGGCAATGGGCTAGAGCAGCCAGATGTTTTTGCAAGCCTTCTCCACTGCTGAGGAGCATTGCCTAGTGCTGCCTGTGTGCCTGCAGCATTCATCTCATGTCTTCCCTGCAGGTGGCTGGAGAGCGCTACGTGTACAAGTTTGTGTGTGAGCCTGAAGCCTTGTTCTCTCTGGCCTTCCCTGATAACCAGCGGCCAACTCTGAAGGCAGAGCTTGACCGGCAGATCAGTGAGGAGGACACAGTACCTCTTTCTCACCTGGATGAGAATGCCACTTATCTGCCGGACCTTGGGAGCCTCCCTCCACAGCTTTACAACAAAGGCTACGCATACTAGCATTGCTGGGAGCACACTGTGCCACCCTTGCTTGTGTATGTAAGGAGATGTCTGGTTAGTGTTCAATCAGTATAAGCATTTTTCCAGGCCAGCCTAGGGCGGCACTAAACTATGAATACCTGCTTTGGTCAGGAAAAGTGTTCAGGTACACACATGGATAATCACCTGACAGCTGACAGGGATCTTGTACGCTTGCGATAAGACCCTCGTATTTGTCAGGATGGGACTCATTCTCAGCGATGTATACACCTTCCCAGCAGTAGAGCTTCAGCTTTAGCAGTGTATCAGGTAATTGCTGCCTCCAGCCAGAACAAATGAGCTTGTCACAGTTCCTCTCTTTGGCGAGGGAGGAGATGCCGTCCTACTGGGCTTTTTTTCAGATACGAGGATGCTGCTGCTGACTCTATTCCTCCAGTACATGTACTGAACCTCTGTATAACCTGCCCTCAGCAAGGGATGGCTCTGACCCACATGACTCACCTCTGCAAGGCCAGTCTTGCCTTCTTCCCAGGATGGCTGCAACACAGTGGTCACATCATATGCCTTCCCTGTGAACTGCGTTGTGGGAATGGGGAATACTTGTTGTCTTGCATGTACACGCTCCTGCCTTATCACCTCCTTGCTCGTAACACTTCATGCCAGGACTATCTGGTATTTAGGCACTCCGAGCAGGGTAGCTGGAGGTACTGGCCAGGATTAGAGCAGTCCTGGAGTACATGGCACTACATACAATTTAGGGGAACTACAGAGCTGCCTGACTGCATTGGTCTGGGGCACAGGTCAAAGCCAGTATCACCTTCAGGGAGAGGGATTGCAAGAGGCAGCAAGGCCTGAGCCACCAGTTCACTGTAGTGTTGTGGCTTTCCCAAACTGAACAACTTCCTCAACAAACATCCTCAGGATCTTTGAAAACCTGTCAGGCTCCTGAGTGTGCTTATCCAGGGCTTGGCTAGAAAATCATCTGAGGCAAGAAAAGAACCCGGTGGAGGTGTGTTAAGAAAATGCTTTACAAAGTAACCTAAACCATACATAGTTCTTAATATCTGAATTTAGACTTAACCTCCACAGATATTTGCATGTTTGAGGGAAATCCTGATGTGTTGGAAAAGCAGCTATCTCTGCAGCCCAAAGCAGCACATGCAACTTAACTAGACGTTGACTGGTTTTCCACAATAGTGACCATTTATAATGGGCACCACATCCTCATTGAGTGGTGCCTCGCTTTTTAACTAGCAACTCTGACCATGTGCCCAGTTAGACAAGGAGCAGTACAGTGTACCCATACAGAAAAAGCCTGTTTCCTACTGCTTCAGATTGATGTTCCAGCTGCTGATTACAGAGCATCGCCAATGCGGTAGCCTGTAGAGGAAATTCTGTATGTTCACCAAAAGCCTGATTTCCCCCGATGACTCTCCCCTGCATGGCTAAAGCCAACCCTCCCAGCTTTGTCCCTGGGCATGAGGGCCAGGAAAGGCAGCTCTCCCTGCCTGAGGAGATGCCAGATACTCAGAGCAGCCTGCTCTGCTGATGCCTTTGCATGCCCTGTGCAGTCCAGAGACTTGGTGTCCCGGCAGCTCCTGGCCCTCCTGCCTTGCCCTGCTCTCACCTGGCAAGCACTCTTCCTCTGGTGTCCCAGAAGTGAGGGTGAAGGGGAACCCTTCCATTGGTATAAGCTGCCTTTACTATTTATGAGTGTAAAAATACTATAATTAATAAATTGTTCTATGTCTTGGCCAGTGCACCTTCATTCAGCCCCTGGCTAGTCCTCCCTTACCTTCCGAGCTTGCTTTGCCCATCTCCTTGGCACCAGCTTGCAGCTTTGGGTAGCTGATCCAGAGAGTTCAGGGATGCGTGTTTACTTCTGAATCTTGGTGGAGTTCAAGAAATGAACAGTTCACTCCCTTGACATCCTCACAACCAGTCATACAACCAGGACTGAAAAAAAATCACAATGAAATATGTAACCTCCGGCTGCACCTGGTGTCAGGGGAACAGTTCTCTGCAGCAGTAGAGAACACTGGCCACTGAGCCAAGCTCCATGGTTTTAATTAGCTTTTCCCTGAACTTCATTTCTGTCTTGAGCAGTGGCACCTCCAGGTTGCTTGCTAGGAAAGCGAGTGTGTTACGACCTGCTGAGCTGGTAACATGATCAGGGCAGCGCAGGGCACGCCAGCAATGAGAGTGCCACCCTGTCCCAGGTGGCAGAGCTGAGAGCTGGACCAGGACACAGCCACCCACATGGGCCTCAGCGAAGGCTACAGCAAGGATAGGAGTTACCCTGAAGTGGAGGAGCCCTTTTACGCTGCACCTTCCTCAAGAGAGTCAGGTATCTCCTAAGGGAAGTATTTATGCCTTCTGGAGGCAAAATGTGAGTAAGGGCCATACCCTGCTGCAACACTGTGTTTCTAATGAATGAGACTAGTAGGTTGCTTTTATTTGGTATCTCAATCTGCAGGATTCCCAAGGATTTTACATTTATCCAGTATTCTTTGGGCTACTCTCTGCCCAGCCAATCTTCCTTCCAGAAAGGGAGTTCAGGGAGCTAGTTCACATTTGGAGGAAATTTTAGCTCCGTGTTTCACTCAGGTTTGTCAAGTCAGTGCAACAGATCGATAACTGCAGAGCAGTTCCGGGAATCAGCAAGATCAGGTTCTCATAATTGAGGGGTAGTGACCTCCAAATGGCAGAGATTTATAATAACCAGATCAGAGAGTTGGGAATCAATAAATACACTCTGTGTTTCCAGTTCAGCAAGACAGAGAGGCAGCTGATTAGGGA